TGAGGATCTAAGGTAATCGTGTGAAAGTGTTGAAAAGTTGTATATCTAACAGCAGACTGTGAATGTTCATAAGGCCTAAGAACATGAAGAGGACACTACAAAAACAGATGTGGTTTAAAACTATATTGGCTATCACCTTTTAATGACTAAAAAAAGAGCCCTAATTTTTTTTTATAAATAACAAAAAAATCTTCTAATTAATTTTACTTTCTCTATATACACAGAAAAACATTTTGATGTTGGCACAAAGACCATAACCAAAACAGAAGTTATTTAACTTCAGATTTTTAGTTAAAGAATGCCAACTACTTCTTAGAATTTTGGGGGGGGGGGTAGTTTGGTTTTTGGTTTTTGGGGTTTGAACAAAGGGTCTTGCGCTTACTCGGCAAGTACTCTACCATTTGAGCCATGTCTGCAGCCCTACCAACTACTTCTAAATGTAAATGGATCTATACACTATCTGTTTTTTATATGGATAATCTCCATTTTCTTATCAAGTTATAATAGTAATGGAACTAGTCACTTTATCAGAACTATCACTTCCAAATAATCAAAATTTGCTAGAAAATTCAGTACTTGGGACCACTGACTAAAATAAATAAATATATATATAGAGAGAGAGAGACACATATATATATATAGACACATATACATATGTATCAATACAGGAATGCATGGATGGAAAGGTCACAGTAAAATCTACTAGTAGGCTAATGCATTAATAATTATAATAAATTACATAGGTATACTAGCAATCCAATTTTAAAAGTTAACTCTAATAATTCATTGTAGGTAGGTCTAAGACAAATTTTTCCCAGAAATGATAGCTTACTATAAGTCAGAGACTTTACAAACTTCAGAAGCCTAAACTTTAAAAATCTACAATACAAGACAAACATACTTAGGAAGATTATTTAGTTAAAAACACAGGTACTAAAATCTCATCATAGCTATAAAGTGACCAACCAGATTATCAATAATCATTTTATATCAAGATAAAAATGCAAAATTAAAGATTTTGAGACCTCCTATATCTACAACTATGGGTCCTAGTTTGAAAACATAAATATTAGATTTAAACTAGCACTATCCTATTTAACCCAAACTATAACTAACTAAATTAATATTACTAGTAGCCCAGAGAAAAACCAGTAATCCCTTGTCCCCAAATCCTTCTAAAGGACTATATCAACTATATAGAAAGGTTAGGGAATGGCTAAGCAAGTCCCTCAGCAGGATGAGAAACAGACCCAAAAGCACACAGCATAAAGTTCTGGCATTTGCAAGAAGAAAGGCACCACGATCTTCCCCTTTTGCACCTTGGTGGAGGAATCAAGGTATAGGAAAAACATTCCGAGGCATGTGCACATTTCATTCACATCACCGGTCTCTGCCCCTTCGGAGTCCTCTGCTAAACTTTCCTTTCAACTCTAAAAGCTAGATTTCTTGATATGAATTACAAATGTGCCTCTATCCAACTCTCTTCCTCTCAGAACTGGAACTATATATCTAACTGCTATAACATGTGACACCTTCAAATGTCTTTTTTTTTTTGAAGGTAACAAGCAGTGATTATTCCAGATGTTTTAATAGGCAAGTCAAAGTCTAAGCATCTGCAGTGGATCTCTAGTCCCAAAACCTAATAATTTTCCTATTTCTTCCCTACCCTAAAACAACCTGCCAACAGTTACTTAAGTGAAAACTCTAGGCATAATCCCCACTTCTCTCTCTCTCTCTCAATTTTCCTCCTATGTCTAACTGGTGCAAATCCTATAGATTATCTCTGTAAGACCCACAGATCAATCTACTTTTTTTTTCACCTGCACTGACATTACCCTAATCTAAACCATCATTTCTTGTCTGTGCTTTTGTAATAGCTTCCATTCTAAAATCAGTAGCTGGAGTGATTTTTTTTTAAATGCAAATCAGTCCTATCACTCTCTGATGGATTTAATTCTCTACACTGAATTTAATTCTACTGCCTTCACCATGGCGAGACCTGGCTTCTGTCTATCTCCAACCTCCTCTGGTAACATTCTTTCTTCCTCACTCTCTAGTCAAACTGGCATTCACTTAGATCCCCAAGTTCTTTCCCACCTACAATATTCTCTTCCAGCTCTTGCATTGCTAGCTCGTAATCATCTTGTAGATCTTAGCTTTAAAATGACCTCCTCAGCCAGATATTCCCTGACTTACAAAGTTAATACAATGTTCCCTTTTACACATTGTTTATTTACTTCCTAACCCAAACCGCAATCTCTAATTATGTTCACATGTTTGTGTCCCTAAGTAGAATGCCACAAAAATGGTCTATCCATGTTCCTCGTTCATTACTGTGTTCCCAGAGCCCAACACTGCGCCTGACAAAAGTAGATGCTTAATTTCCTAAATGAAGAATTCTAAGTCTAGAACTGTATACACAGATTTAGAAGCTGTACCTCATCTAAAATTCCACGATACCATTATTTTACATACGATCATTAACAGAAATGAATTATAGTCACAAAATAACCTTGAAACACTTGCTGGTGCTAAATTCATCTGGTTCATTACTACAAATGAGACTGATACTAGTAGACTATTATGAAGGAGCAATCATGTTCGTACTTAGCATTTCTTTCCCTAAATTAGTAGTAAACTTCGAATAATCTGTTTTCACTTTCTATAGCAAAGGAACGTCAATTTCCAGAAAAACAGAACACAAAAATATAACAAACTGCATGGCAACCTCTCCAAAATACATGAAACAAAGACAAGCGTGGATACAGAGAAACTGGAACTTGTATGCACTGTCATAGAAATGTAAAAATGGTGTAGTCACTGTTGAAGATAGTTTGGAAGTTCCTCAAAAATTTAAGCATACAGCTGCCCTATGATACTGTATATACCCAACTACATGCATATACCAAAGAGAACTGAAAACTAATGTCCACACAAAAATCTGTGCAAGAATGCTGATGGCATCACTATTGATAACAGCCAAAAAGAAGAAACACCACAAAGGTCTATCAACTGGAAAATAGATAAATATGGTATATACACACATATAATGAAATATTATTCAACCATAAAAAGAAACGAAGTACTGATACATATAACATAGATGAATCTTGTAAACGTTAGACAAAGTGAAACACATCAAACACAAAAGTCCACATAATTATGTTCCTATTTATCTGAGATATCCAGAACAGTCAAGTCTACAGAGACAAAGTAGATCAGTGGCTATCAAGAGCTGGAGTAACAAAAAGTGGGGAGTGGCTGCTAGTGGGTAAGGATATACTTGGGAGGGTGATGAAAATGTTCTGGAATTAGTGATGATGACTGTACAACTGTGAGAATACTAAAAGCCACTGAGCTATATACTTTTAGTGGGAAAATTTTATAATATGTGAATTATAACTCAATAATATTGTGTCTCTTTATTGAATATCCAAATGTCTTTAGATAATCTTAAGTTTTAAAAGGAAAATGAATTCTTTCATTTTCCTGTGACGGAAAACAGAAAAATAAGTTTCTCATATGCCTAAATTAGGTAAGAAATGAGACTTGAAATTTTTGTTACTAAAAAGTTTGCCTCTTCAATTTAAATTCAATAAATTTAAATTAAATGTGGACTAAAACAGTTGTTAGACATAACAAATGTCAATAATCAACTTAATTTGCAGCTAGTTATTTTGGCATTATAAGCTACTGCGTTAGAAAAAGCACAGATTTTGAGGTCTCAATCAAAAATTTACCTTGCAAAACTGATACAATTTTATTTCTCTAGATTTATTAGTAACACCATCTTTTTCCTTCACTGAAAATTCATTTCTTTGTTAGTCAGGATAAGTGATACTAGCTGCTATAACAAACTCCCAAATCTTAGTAGACTAAAATAAAAAAGATAATTTTTCTCTGACTATAAAAAAAATTACATGATACCCTTTAAATGTAAGAACTCAAAAGAATCAGGATTAGCAAATCAAAAAGTACTAATTAGTTCTTATTGTCAATTAAAAGGTTCTACTGCTAAAACACTGGCTCCATAGAATAACATAAATAAAATCGACTATTCTGTTAACAATACCACCATTCTTCTTGGTGCCCAATCCTTCAACCAATAATCAGTGAAACCTATCAGTTTTTTCCTGTTCTACCATAAACAAAGCCTGATCACATATGGTAAGAGCAGAGTCAGCCAAACAAGAGAAAGAACAAATTGGAAACATCCTGGTGGTACTTCCAGTAACCTGGAACAGAACCGTGCCACTCAGTTACTGAGCCACCTGACAAAAAAAGCTGTTACTCACTTAACACACATTGCAAACAAAACAAGGCAAGAAAAGCTCACCTGCTGGTATAACCTTCAAGCAAAAAATCCAAATCTGGAGAAAGTTTATATATATACCATTATCTAAAGTGCCAAAACTTTAATGTTTAACTGGATATCAGAAACAGATAAAAAATACTGTGTATCTCTAATATACTTAAAATATTCACAATAGTCTGAAAGCTGAGTTTACAAAAACGATATTTCTGTATTTCAAAAAAATCACCTAGTTAGTATGAAAAGATTAAATTGTTTATGTCAAGGACTAAAGGGGTCTCTCATAATTATGTATAGCTTAAAAAATCATATTCCTACTATTTCCCACTTACACATAATCAAATTCCACACACTAATTTTAAAATACTGATTTTAAAGTTTTTTGCTGGGCACCAGTGGCTCATGCCTGTAATCCTCGCTACTCAAGAAGCAGAGATCAGGAGGATCATGGTTTGAAGCCAGCCGCTGGCAAATAGTTCACAAGACCCTATTTCAAAAAAACCCATCACAAAAAAGGGCTGGTGGAGTGGCTCAAGGTGTAGGCCCTGAGTTCAAATCCCAGTACCACAAAAAAAATTAAGTATCTAACACGCTAATGGCTCAGTAAAAGAAATCTTCAATTGTCAAGTTAGTTCAAAGAGCTACAATACAAGTTGAAAGTAGTAACTATTAACATTTCAGTACTTACATTTAGTTCAGTCATGAGTGCCAAATAGCTTTAAAAAACTGGGTACCAGGTGGTGCATAAAATATCAATCTGTGGAAAATAAATTCTGTGAATTTGTGCTAGAAGACATCTCCCTTTCATCTGCAATTAAATTTACCCAATCCAAAGTCCTAGGAAATTTAGAAACACTATAAATAGAAGCATGGTTACCCAAACAGCCTCTAGCCCTTATCTCCTTGCAGGAACAACCAGCATACAAAATCTTTAAGAACAATATTCTCTGAAACCCCACTTTGCAATTTCCACTCACAGGCCATTCACATGTCAAATGTATGCACAACAGACAATGCAAAGTACAAGAACTGGAAGATTATGAAAACAGACCAAAACAGTGTTAGGATATTATGTTCCTCTATCTTCCCTATAATTTATCAGGATAAACAGAAATGAGCACATACTAAGCTAGGAAGTGTTGATATGATAGTAAGGCTATGTTACCCATTCATATATACAAATTTTAGACAATAGACCATTCAAACATACACCTCTTTTTATACTTCAGTTTGTTTTTTTTTTAGTTTATAGGTATATAACTGAGACCACCAAGTCCCTTCATGCCTTTCTTCGTCTTACTGTTTGTACCCATCATATATAATATAAATAACAATGGTTAAGGACCTAGGCTTTCAAGTCAGACCAACCTGGATTCAAATTCCAATTCTACTTAGACTTCTATGACCTTGGGCAAAACAATCACCAAGCTTCAGTTTCCTCATCTATAAAACAGAGCTAGTAATAAATCTTGTAAGGTATCTACAAGGAATACATGTGATAAAGCATATCAAGTGCTCAGTAGAATGCCTGGCTCGTATGGCAATCTCTAAGTCAATGGTAGTTTAAAATCAGAGCAGTTAAAGCATTCTAGACACCCAAACCCAGTTTATGTAAAGAGAAAAACTAAAATTTCTAGGAAAAAAATCCTATTTTTAAAACCACTAGTGCATGATTGAACAAAACATTACCTTCTTGGTACTTTTATTTTCAAGAAAGACATTAGGATAAAACTAAAAATAACTTAAAGTAACAAAAGAAATTTTAGTCAGCTGTCCTTAAAAACTTTTAACTTAGTCTATCTTTTATCGGCCATCAATAGTACCCTTTGTTCACAAAGGGTTTTAAAAAATTGAAATATATTGCTAGATGACATGAAACCTTTTTAAAATTTTATTAAAATTTTGTAAGACAATAGTCTTATAAAACAAAAATCATTTATGGATATGATTTATATCCCCTTGAAATCAACAGTTCCAAGGTGTTTAAGCTAGTAGGCTTCTACTTGCCTAAGTAAGGTAATAGGGAACTATAAAAATAGCAAATTCCAAATGATATGATACAAGCTATTTCCAATGAAAATGAAAGTAAGACTTCCTTCTGGGTTGTTGACAATTTGGTTATGGAATGTTATATTCTTAGAATAGAACCTATACAAATGGTTCTATTCTTGCTTCTATAATACTAACAGAACCTCAGAGTAAAAGAACAAGTTGAAAAGGCAGTATAAACCTGCCTATCTGATCAGGAAATCTGATGATCTAAGTATGGAAAGTAACTTCTTTAGTTGAACAATATTAAAGCAAAGACAGAGCAAAATGTGCCCAGAACCTAGAGGAACAATCAAGAAACTTCTGGCCAAAAGTCTGGAAAATGAGGAGCCAAAGCATGGAAGCCCAACAAAGGTTTGCCTTCATCATCGAATTCAGGGTAGTCAGGTCCACCTTTACTACTGTTTGTAGATAGCTGAAAGAGATAACGAGAATGTTGTCTAACTGGAGTTAGATTCATATTTTTTGTCTCTCTTGGTTAGTCCATTCTACTAAATAACATTCAGTGCAGCCATTTTGGTATTTATACCTCTGATAACTAAGCCTAAACTCAGATAAGAGTCTGAAACCCTAGCAAAAGTGGACTTTTTGACAGGTATCTTCACTATCCAGTGCAATTACCAAAATTTCAGATTTATTTCATACTGTAGGCCAATTTCAGAACCTGAAAATCTAAAATCACCCAGTAATGACAAATGTCAAATTAGAATAAGATTCACAATTTTCAGTATCTACTACCAACATGAACTGGTACACTTCCCAGTTCCTAAACAAATCCTAAATCAGTTATCAATACCTTCTAAGTTAACGAAACTCCCAAAGAGCTCAGCTCCACATTTGAAGTTTTTAATGATTTGCAAACATTTTCATAAATATAGCAACTGGCTAGAAAATATCTTCCCTTCCATAGCCATTAAAGATCTGTCATCTTTTTACTCAGAAGTAAGTAACTAAGTAAAACAAAGCATCTAAGCATCAGTGTAACAGTAACTCTGAAAGAATAATTGAAAAAAAAAAAAAAAAAGGCAGGAGGTGGTGTGCACATCTGCAGAGAATCACTTGAACCCAGGAATCTGAAACCATCCTGGGCAACACAGCAATACCCTGTCTCAAAAAAACAAAAGAAAAGAAAAGAAAAACACTTGAAACATTTAAACACAGTCAATGCTGAATAATCATTGTGGGTGGTCATAAAAACCTAAACTTCTGTTACAATATTGCTTAATTACAAAATGTTCTGAATTCTAAGTAACTTTACAAAGTAAACTTTTAGGATTCCAATTCCTCTGTTGGTGACTACTATGGTTATGGGGTAACACTAAACAATTTCTCAACTGTGATACTTCAAATTAATTTCAAGTGATAAATAAGTCAGAATATTAATCTGTCAAATCTAATAATTATACAAATTTTCAGTGAAATTCTATAGCAATAAACACAGGTACTCCTGCTCCACTCTCCTTAACCTAGAAATGAACTTCTCTTGACATTATAGTCCACTTAGAGAAAACTTGCTGAAGGAGAAAAAAAGCTAGGTTTGCCACCGAGTTAAGTTTATTAAGAGGATGCATATTATTTGGTACAGCCTCCAAAAGTACTCCACTGTGTCCACAGAAGTCAGGTGGGTTGGGAAGGAGAGAAGTTTTGCAACTGATCTCCTCCTCAAGCAGCTGACTAACACATAGGGACACTGACAGTCCTCCACTAGGGACTAGCCCTGATAGGGCAGAACACATCCCCCAAAACATGCTCTCAGGGCAGATAAGGCAAATAGGCGTCACTTCTCTTGATACTTTTTCCAGAAGCAAAGTTTTAGAACAGTAATAACCCTTGCACCAACATATTGCAGACCAAGTCCCTTTTTGGTTTAATAGTGTAAAATAAAGATCTGGTGTGCTTACAAATGGTATTTGGGCTATGTTATGAACAATACTATGGGAGTCTGGGACTTTCAATTATAACTATTTTCAAAAGCTACTTTCCACTTCAAAAATGTGTACAACTAATTTATGCAAAGCAGAAATTTTTTAGCAAACTGTTATTCACAGTGTAAATCTTAACTTTCAAACATAAACTTTGAACAACTGAAAGCTCCATCTAGCTTGTTCTAAGTACTTAAGTACCTCACCCCTACTAAAAAATATTTGTATCACAAAGTACTTACAAATGTGGTTAAATGCCAACTGAGTTTTTTTAAACTTCCTGTTTTTGCAATAACCATCCTAATCCTGTGCTTATTCTAGAATTCTAAAAGCCCAATAAAACTTAATACTGCAACACTGAAACAGACCTAACTCATAAATATGGTCATATAGATCCAGTGTCTTCCTTACTTCAATGCATAAAACAAGCCTAGAAAGGACAGTTGCCTTCCAAAGGACCCATGGTTAAATTGGCCTGACACCACAAATATTTCCCATCCTAAAATCCACACCTCTTCATTATTTAATCATAAAGGTTCAGTAACTGAACACTGATCATTCACGAACGAAAAATTTATATGATGGAGAAAGTGAAAACCTCACTTTAATATACTCGGTACCTGATATTATCTTCTGAACTATTCCAAAACTTTTTAATTACCAACTATGTTCCTTCCACCCTGACTTCAGGAACAAATGGAGCTCTATCCACTGTCTGCATTTTATTTATCTTTGCAATATCCAGACATGATTCAGAATGGGAAATATAGTCACTCTGATTTCAGTGAAACAGATGATACGACAACAGGAATAAAAGAAGTACCAAATGATTGGAGGGTGGAAAGATTGTTCTCTTCTAAATTAAAGAAATTTCTATGTCCTCTTCAGAAGAAAAATGAGAAACAAGTGATGGTGATGGAAGAAAGGGAATGCACAAGTTATAATTCTTTGTTCCTCAAAACATACAGTAGACATGAAAGTATAATTTTTATAGGGGTCCCATAATTATTTCCAACAACAAAAAAAATTTTTTTTCTCTTCACAGTGAACATATTCCTGAGTCAAGTGTTGGAAGAAAAACTGAATTTTAGTCTAGAAAGCATTGAAAGCTCTAATAAGGGTTGTAGTGCTTCTTTATCTTTAAAAACCAGAAAAAGAATGCATCTCACATTCTCTTAGGTTGATGACTTTAAATTCCAAGAAAAATGGCCCCTTTTCCATATGTGCAAATTCTTAGGTCTCCTGGTATTTCTGCATACTTTTACCAATTAACTGAACCTCATCAGGAAGGTATTAGTGGCAGATGGCGCACGCAGGGGACACCCACAACCTCAGAACTGAAAATGCTTCCTGGTCTGCCAAAGGAGACCTATTTGACTCAAGATAGGAGGGGATGACAGCGAGGAGGGAGGTCCAGGGCACCCAAAGCTGCACGCAGGGCAGCGCCCCGCGCCCGGCTTGACACACTTACGGGTTTGCTAGGGTACACGTTAGATAGATGCGTTTTTAGTTTCCCCACGGTCCAGTTCAAGAAGCAGCTAATAGTCTGGTCACTGTATTTCTGATTCGGTGCTTTAATGATGAGGGTCACAGGAATCTCCATCCCACTTTGGTCCATGATGCCTTCAAAGGCAGACAGACAGTCAAGAGCAGCAGCAGACAGAAACCCCCAACGAGCCGAGGCGGTCACCGCCCGTGCGGCTGGGATGGGGACGGAAGTGAGTTCTTAATATTCCGTGTCCCAATCAGTCACAAGTGCATGTGGCGACACGTAGGCCATTGCCGGCAGCAAGGTGGACGGAGGTGGCAGCGGGGTCTAGGCGCCGGGCTGTCCCCGCCAGGTCCGGGCTCCGCCAGGTTCCGGACTGCAGAGGGAGGCAGGGAGAGAGAGCGATGAAGATGGGACGGGCAGGGTGAGGGCGACGCCCGGGTCACCGCCCCGCCCCTGCTGCGACCCTCGGGCTGAAACGCAACAAGGCCCCTACGCGACCGCCCGGCCGCGCGGACCCGGGGAGGTACCTGCGGGCAAGCCGCGAGCCTACGCCGCACTCAGCGCCCAGCAGTGTCGAGCGGCGGACTCCGCGGCGACCGCTCCACGGGCGGCTCGGCTCCGCTCGGCTCGGCTCGGCTCCGCTCGGCTCGGCTCGGCTCGGCGGCCAGCACGGCCCGCCCCGGGTCTCGCGAGGCGACGCGGAGAGAAGTTGGCCAAAGGGCGCGGTCCACCTTTCCGCTGAATCCCACGGGCCGGGCAGCTCCGAGCAAGGCCAGGTCAGGCGCGGCCCGGAGCAGCGGCAGGTGGCAGGGGCGGGAACGAGGGCTGCCGGCCCGCTGATTTTGTTGTTGTTGTGAGGAGGGTCGCGGTCCCCTTTAAACCGGAAGGTGCAGGGCGGAAGTGCGTCACGCATGGCCCGCCCCTACGCGCGGCCCGGCCAGCTGCGCGCTTCCCAGCTGTACGAGGTGGCCGGGAGTGGACACTTGGCCTCTTGGAGCTGGCCTGTACTGGCGATAGCCTGCGCTGTGCGGACCACACCCTGAAGATGAACGAATGCTTCTCCGTCCCACGAGTGTCCTTCCTCATGCTCAAACTAGTGCTCAAAGTTCCCCGAATGCCGACTGCCTGCAAAGCAGGGCCAGCAGCTAGGGCCAGGGAGGTCTGGGGTACATCGCGTAAGGAGTACCGGCTTTCAGTTCATCCCGAAACCTACCTCTACTTTGTGTCCCCCCCGCTGGAGGGGACAGAGGCAGCTGTCAAGTGTGTAGTAAGATTGAGTTCTGCAGTATGGCAATCTCTCAACCTTCAGTTCCCTCAGTT